TCCCAGCTAATTTTCTGTACTTTTTGTAGAGATAGAGTTTCACCATGTTGCCCAGGCTGATCTCAAACTCTTGGGCTCGAACGATCCTCCCACCTTTGCATCCCAAAGTGCTGGGATTGCAGGCATGAGCCAGCATGTCTGGCCTCTTACAGAATTATTAATAATTCCCCAGAAATTGGACATAACCTTAAGGTCTAACAATATTTGCATTTGTTAGGTAAATTATGATAAATTTGTAAGACGGAATATTGTATAGCCTCTAAAGTACCATTTGCAAAAGGCATTTAACGATAAAGAGAAAAATCACATTATGAAACAGAATAAACAAAGATATTCCAATTTTCTAAAACTGTTATATCTAGGTATATGTGTACAGTAAATGGAATGGAAAAGCAAGAATATAAATATTAACATCTGTGACTGATGGTGCCACAAATAATTTAATTTTTTCTTGTACCTTTTTGTAGTTTTCTATACTTTTTTCAGTAAAAATGTATTGTTGATCAGAAAATGAATACTGAGAGAAAATGCTGTAAAGTATTTTATGTAGTATCTGGCAAATTTCTTCACAAGGTAATATGTATCAGAATTATTCTCAATCCTGGCTGCACTTGAGACTCACCTGGGGAGCTTAAAAAAAGTCTATTCCACTCGGCCCTCCTCCAGAAATTCTTACTTACTTTAGGGTGGCCCCTCCATCAGTAGTTTTAGCAGCTGTCCAGATAATTCTTTTTTTTTTTTGAGATGGAGTTGCCCAGGCTGCAGTGCTGTGGCGTGATCTCCGCTCACTGCAACATCTGCCTCCTGGGTTCTAGCCATTTTTCTGCCTCAGCCTCCCGAGTAGCTGAGATTACAGGTTCCCACCATCAAGGCCAGCTAATTTTTATATTTCTAGTAGAGACGGGGTTTTGCCATGTTGGCCAGGCTGGTCTCGAACTCCTGACCTCAAGTGATTCACCCACCTTGGCCTCCCAAAGTGATGGGATTACAGGCATGAGCTAGTGCGCCCAGCCTTGTCCAGGTAATTCTAATGAATAATCAGGACGGAGACGTACCTTACAGCATGTGTGGTCAATAGATGAATATTTGTGCTTAAAATCACCATGTAGAGTACTGGTTCGAAAAAGTGAGGCCTCCAGTTTGTCAGAGAGAAGACTGACATCATTCAGATTCTATATGTCATAATCTAATAGGCCTGTAGGTTTATGGGAGTGCAGGATTTGCATTTTTTGAAGCTGTAAGAAGTTTGACAAAGCTGGGCATGGTGGTTCACCCCTCTAATCCCAGCACTGTGGGAAGCCAAGGTTGGTGGATCCCTGGAGCCCAGGATTTCGAGACCAGCCTGGGCAACATGGCAAGACTCCATCTCTATACAAAAAACAAAAATTAATTGGGTGTAGTGATGGCGCCTGTAGTCCCAGTTATTCAGGAGGCTGAAGTGGGAAGGTAACTCAAGACCGGGCAGTGAGTTCAGCTGTGATTGTGCTACTGCACTCCAGCCTGGGCGACAGAGCAAGATCCTGCCTCAAAAAAACAAGAGTTAGACAATTCTGCATAGCTTATTCTCACTTTCACTTTGTATGTCATTTCATTAAACTGAATAAGAAGTTTTAGCTATCTGAAAACATTTCTCAAACTAAGAACTAGAAAGGCAATATAAGGGGCAAGAGAAAGAGCAGATCAGATAAAGCCTGATTTTGTGTATCAACAATTCTTCAGACCAGTCACGGTGGCTCACACCTGTAATCCCAGCACTATGTGAGGCTGAGGCAGGTGGATCACTTGAGGTCAGGGGTTCAAGACAAGCCTGGCTAACATGGTGAAACCCCATTTCTATTAAAAATACAAAAATCTGCCAGGCGTGGTGGCACATGTCTGTCCTCCCAGCTGTTTGGGAGGCTGAGGTGGGAAAATAGCTTGAACCGGGGAGGCAGCGGTTGCAGTGAGTTGAGATCATGCCCCACTGCACTCCAGCTGGGGGGATGGAGTGAGACACCTTGTCTCAAAAAACAAAACAAAAAAACAAAAAGAAATTCTTTTTCAATGAATTTATTGTTTAGTGTTCAAGGAATGTTTAGTGACAATTCTTCCCCTCTTAAAAGAAGGGAAATCACTATTCAGGGAACTGAAGAATTGTCATGCCACTTGTACCATTGTAGTTTTCCAGTATCAAGATGAAGGAAGGTGTTTTCATTATAGAATTATAATAGCTATAGCAACAGCTGCCCAGTTATACTGAGCTTGCAGTCAGCCTGCATATTCTGGGGGACCAGGAATCCCATGCTAGTGACTTCTGTTAATCAACATAGCATCTAAAAATAATGAAACTAACCAAGGAGTGCAATGAAAAGAAATCACTGTGTACAAGATGTGCCCCAAGCCTGGAGGAAAAAGTTAATATAAGTAACATAACAGAAAAATCAAGAACAGAGGAGGTGCAAGGTAGTGTAAAGTAACAAAATTCTTTTAGCTGAAGGTGGAGGGAGACTTTTACTTTTAATTTCTTTCTACAATTAAGAGAAAGGCCTGACCGGGCGTGGTGGCTCACATCTGTAATTCCAGCACTTTGGGAGGCTGAGGCGGGCAGATCACGAGGTCAAGAGTTCAAGACCAGCCTGGCCAACATGGTGAAACCCCATTTCTACTAAAATACACAAAAAATTATCCAGGTGTGGTGGTGTGCACCTGTAATCCCAACTACTACAGAGGCTGAGGCAGGAGAATCGCTTGAACCCAGGAGGCAGAGGTGCAGTGAGCCGAGATCATGCCACTGCACTCCAGCCTGAGCAACAAAAGTGAAACTCTGTCTCAAAAAAAAAAAGAAAAAAAAAAAAAAAGAGAGAGAGAAAGGCCCTAAGGCTTGCCTAAAGGCCTATTAGCATGACTTCCGCCAGACTTCCATCCACTGGCTTCAGGAATATACTTGATCTGATTTCCATTAACCTGAGAGGGCTGAGTGTAATGGATGAGAAGTTTGTTCAGAGCACATTTCAGGATATTATCCATCCTAGTAATCACACTGTGCATTCTATAATTCTGACTTACGTGCATTGGTTCTCCAAGCCTCCTTTTATTAGGCTGGATTTGAAAAGGAACAGCTGAGTTTCTAGAAGGACTGACATGACACTCACTTAGATATGACCTTTCATAACTATGTGCCCCTAACGGTGAAGTTCTAGACACTAACATCTTCACCTGTCTTAGACGATCATCTTGCTCGAATGCTGTGGCTCATCCCTGTAATCCCAGAACTTTAGGAGGCCTATGTGGGAGGATTGCTTGAGCCCAGGAGTTTAAGACCAGCCTGAGTAATAAAGTGAGACTTCATTGCCACACAAAAATTTAAAACTTAGCTGGGTGTGGTGCTGCACACCTATAGCCCAAGCTACTCGGGAATATACTCACATAGAAACCAGGAATATATAATGCTGTTTTTGGAATTCTCACTACCTGCCCCAAAACTCACAGTTCAGGTCAAAATTACCAATAGGAGATTTTAGCCAGGTGTGGTAGCTCATGCCTATAATCCCAGCACTTTGGGAGACCCGGGTAGGAGGATCTCTTGAACCCAGGAGTTCAAGACCAGTTTGGGCAACATAGCGAGACCCTGTCTCTAAAAAAAAAAAAAAAAAAGAGAAATAGGCGGGGCGCGGTGGCTCACGCCTGTAATCCCAGCACTTTGGGAAGCCGAGGCGGGCGGATTACGAGGTCAGGAAATCGAGACCATACTGGCTAACACGGTGAAACCCCGTCTCTACTAAAAATACAAAAAAATTAGCTGGGCCTGCTGGCGGCGCCTGTAGTCCCAGCTACTCAGGAGGCTGAGGCAGGAGAATGGCGTGAACCCGGGAGGCGGAGCTTGCAGTGAGCCGCGATTGCGCCACTGCACTCCAATCTGGGCAACAGAGGGAGACTCCGTCTCAAAAAAAAAAAGAGAGAGAGAGAGAAATAAATTAATTAAAATTTAAAAATTGAAAATAAGAAAAATGTAAAATTATATTTTTTTAAAAAAGGAAATTGCAATTCTTTTGTGTGCAAGTGTCTCATTGTGAGATTACAATATGCTTAAACTGGGGACCCAATGTTATACGTGTTTTACATCACTTACGGGGCAGTGAATAGAAAAGAACAGGAAACACCAAAGGCAATGCTGGAGCAACACAAATTTTAATAAATTCAGGCAGGCAGTATAAAGTCGTTAGAGTGTCGGCTGGTAACAAACCTATTTGTGTTCTAATTCTTGCTAGGCACTTTCTAGCTGGGAGACCTTGGCTAAGGTCCTTTTAAAAGTTTTAAATCCATCCAAGTACTTAAGATGGATGTGTCAAAGACATACATGATGCACAGTAAACAAAATAGACAGCACTTCTGTCCCAAAAAAGGTCTTTCCATAGTCCAGAAGACAAATTTGAAAAACTGAGGAAGGGCGGGGCGCGGTGGCTCATGCCTGTAATTCCAGCACTTTGGGAAGCCGAGGCGGACGGATCTCCTGAGGTCAGGAGTTTGAGACCAGCCCAACAAATATGGTGAAACCCCGTCTCTACTAAAAATACAAAAGTTAGCCAGGCGTGGTGATGCACGCCTTGGAATTGCTTGAACCCGGGAGGCGGAGCTTGCCGAGATCACGTCACTGCACTCCAGCCTGGGCGACAAAGCGAGACTCCGTCTCAAAAAAAAAAAAAAAAAAAAAAAACCAACCAAACCAACCAACTAACCAACCAACAACAAAACAAAAACACTGAGGAAGATCTTAACTGTAAAATGCAAATCATACCCACTTCCAAGCCATGTGTGGATTAAATGAAATAAGCCAACTAAAGAAATTACTCAGCTCAGTGCCTAGTATACAATTAGCGCTCAATAAGTACTAGCGACCGCTTGGCAAAGCAACGCAGATTGAAGTGTGGGTTTCATTTCTCATCATGTGATAGGTGATAAAATGCTCTTAATCAGGTCGGCTCACCTGGCCTCTCCATTCGACCTAAATAACATCTACTTACTTGCGTAAGGGAAGAGCACTGGCCCAGGTCAGCAAGCATTTGTCCTCCGGGTGGCGCCTCTCGCCTTCAGTAACCCGTCACCTCCAGAACCAGGGCGCCAGCTCCGGCCATCCGTGGTCAAGCGGGAGCTCCCATTGGCTAATCGCACTCTGAAACGCACGCCTTTTCCCGGCCCTGGCGGTGCCGTCCAATGTGCGCCTCTCGACTCTGCTCCGCCCCGCCCCCGTCGCCCCGCCTCCCTGTCGTATTTGCGCCATTGGTGGATCTTCCGGACCGTGATGGCGACGCTGCGCATGCGCATTCGCTCCGAGCCCTCCTCTGGGGAGAGGGAGCTCGCCGGTCGGGGCTAGGGAAGGCTGACCTAGCTCGGCCCGGGTGAAAGGGCGGCGACGGCACTGGGTGGGGCCGAGCTCCAGGGCTGGCTGCTGGGCTGCTAAGAGAACTGTGAGCCGCTCGGAACCGCGCGCCTCTCGGGCGGGGCGGGGCCGGCTGAGGGAGTCCGCGCGTGCCCGCGCCGAGCTACCTGCTCTGGCGGCTTCGCTGCTAGCTCGCGGCGACGTCGGGCCGGTTTTTCCAGGATGACCGAGCTGAGGCAGAGGGTGGCCCATGAGCCGGATGCGCCACCCGAGGACAAGGTAGCGGCAGCGTCGGGGTGGGCGCGGCCGGGATAACAGCGCGTCCGGGAGGCCCGCGGGGGACGCGCGCAGAGGGGTCGTCTTGTTCTCTGACCTTTTGTCGCAGCCGACGGCGGACCCGGGCCCGGGTAGCGCGAAGGGTCCTCGGGTGCCCGGCCCTCGCGGCGCGCGCGTCAGGGGTCGGCGGGTCGGGGTCCCGGCTCAGGGTCTGGCTGGAGTGGCTCCCCCGGGGCGCAGGAAGGAGCTCGCCAGGAGTGGCGTACGGCCTCCTGCCTCGCTGGGCTGGCTGCGGGGATTCCCTTCTGCCCTAACTCCCTGAGGCCTTCCTGGAGGTGAAGATGTACAGAGCCTTCTTAGGGAGGCGGCTCCTCTGAGCGCAACTTAGGCTCTCCGTTCCCTTTTACAATATTATTATTTTGGGAGGTGGGGGAATCAGGACAAGGCCATAGCATTTGCCTCCTGGGAGATGTAAATCCCTTCTTGGGCATGAAATCATCAACTTTGAGCAGAGAGGTGTTACGCAGTGAGCCAGCCCGTCATCAGCAGGTGTTGGAGGGCGTCCTCCCGGTTGATGGGTTTCCTGCACCGTGTGGGCTCTGGTGGGTAGGGGAGGAGAGTAGGAAGGAGGCCATCTTGGCAGGGACAGTGGCCCTGGGTGGCGGGTGGGGGTGACGGGTGGGGGAGTACACTCCTTTGGGTGAAGTGAAAGGTCTGTGTAGGGGAGTTAAGGAAGGTAGGGATTGGTTTTATTGCTGTGGAGGTTGAATGGCAGTGTAGGACTTTGTAGCAGTAGTTGTGCTTTCCGAGATAGCAGTGATCAGGAGCCCTGTATTTGGAAAACTGCTCTGGCAGTGATGTATATGGACTGAGGGAGCCTGGACCAGACTGAGGGAGCCTGGACCAGACTGAGCGAGACTGGTTCACTCAGGGATTGCCCATGAGTGACCTTTTGGCCCACATGTTGTCTTAAAAATCAGAAAATTTATCCTAACAATCTAAATTTCTTGCCTATCTTAGATAATTGGAGGGTCCATCATCACTTTGTCACCCGATCAATGGTTGGCTGGAGCTGAGGATTATCTGTTCCCACCAATCCCTGTTGCCTTACACCAGGCTCACGGCTTCCCCTAATGCAGCCTGTGACTTTTTGATGACTGGACGCAATGGACATTAGGGAGACACGAAGAAGGAAGAAAACACAAGATTTGCTGACAGGATGTCAACAGAGCAGTTACACTAGGAGGAATGTTTTGGGTGAAAGATAATGAGATTATGGGTTTTTTAAAACAACTTTCATGTTATTGCAGTTGACAGTGGACCATCCAAAGATAACTGTTCCTACTGATTTTTAGAACATATATTTTGGCCAGGCACAGTGCTGCACGCCTGTAATCCTAGCTTCTAGGGAGGCTGAGGCAGGAGGATCGCTTGAGCCGAGGAGTTTGAGACCTTGTCTCAAAACACAAAAACATGTTTTGGAGAAAATTTAGGACTGGGGCTGAGGATTTAGCAGTCGCTTGCAGAGACAAGATACTTTTTTTTGTTTTTTTTTTTTTTTGAGACGGAGTCTCGCTCTGTCGCCCAGGCTGGAGTGCAGTGGCACGATCTTGGCTCACTGCAAGCTCCGCCTCCCGAGTAGCTGGGACTACAGGCGCCCGCCACCTCGCCCGGCTAGTTTTTTGTATTTTTTTAATAGAGACGGGGTTTCACCGTGTTCGCCAAGATGGTCTCGATCTCCTGACCTCGTGATCCGCCCGTCTCGGCCTCCCAAAGTGCTGGGATTACAGGCTTGAGCCACCGCGCCCGGCGAGACAAGATACTTTGAAGTCTCTAATTTTTCATTTGGCTATCCTGGTTCAGCCTGAAATAATTCTGACTCACCTTTTACTGCTAGTTGATAAGTATGCAGATGTTTGGAGGCTCTGTAGCTCTGTTTAAGGGTGAGATCATACTTGATGTCAGTGGGACTTTGTGGACCTAGAAAGTGTGAGGAGAGAGAGAAGAAAGAAGGCATGATAGCTGGTGGGCCATGTTTTTGAAAAGCTAACTATGTACAATAATTAGAATGTCAAAAAACAACCTTGGGGTTATGATATGCAGCATAAAGATTCTACCCTCCTTCCCAGACTTGTTAGATCCATCCCCCAGAGATGAAGTGCTAGTTGAACCATCTTACTTTCACATCCCATACTTTAGACAGGGAGGACATGAGGAGCTGTCCAGCTAGAGGTGCACTTACATCACTTATACAGTGACAGAATGCCTGGGGTCATGAGGTCCATTCGTGGCATGTTGTTCCCTAAAAGATAGCTGCTGTGCACTCTTTTAAAAGTTTGATGTTTGTTACCGAGAACAAGAAAAATCAGTTCCTCACCCCATCATTCAGAACTTCTGAATTGTCACTGAATTATCATGTATGGGATTTTTTTCTTTTCTTTTTTTTGTTTTTAGACGGAGTCTCTCTCTGTCGCCCAGGCTGGAGTGCAGTGGCACGATCTCCCAGAACCTCTGCTCTAACTTCCAAAACAAAATCTCCTGAAATGCCAACTCAATCATAAATTTTAAGATGCCAGTCTTTCAGACCACATCTCATCCTTTGCTTTCCTAAGCTCCATCAGAAAAATGTGGTTGGGTAGGAAGAGGATCATTCCCAAAGCCTAAACTCCAAGTTTGTTAGTTTGGCAACTATACCGTGCTTTGGGACTTTAAAATTATAAGCACAGTTCCCAGAGGAGAACATTTCCTTTATTAGCAATTGGCTTTGAAAATTCCATTCCCAGATGCTAAATATAACAAAATACCTTCTGACTTTTATAAATAAACATTCTCCAGACTATTTTGATACTAATGATTTTCTATTTACAAGACAGTTTTGCCACAGCAGTTAAGCAACTGTAACATTTTGAGGAATCTTTCAAGTTTATTCCAGAGCCTTTTTTTTTTTTTTGAGACGGAGTCTTGCTCTTTCGCCCAGGCTGGAGTGCAGTGGCGCCGTCTCGGCTCACTGCAAGCTCCGCCTCCCGGGTTCACGCCATTCTCCTGCCTCAGCCTCCCAAGTAACTGGGACTGCAGGCGCCCGCCACCACGCCTGGTTAATTTTTTGTATTTTTAGTAGAGACAGGGTTTCATCATGTTAGCCAGGATGGTCTCGATCTCCTGACCTCGTGATCCACCTGGCTTGGCCTCCCAAAGTGCTAGGATTACAGGCATGAGCCACCACGTCCAGCCTCCAGAGCTTTTTTTTTTTCCTTTTCTTTTGAGACAGAGTTTTGCTCTTGTTGCCCAGGCTAGATGGAGTGCAGTGGTGCAATCTCAGCTCACGGCAACCTCCGCCTCCTGGGTTCAAGCGATTCTCCTGCCTCAGCCTCCTGAGTAGCTGAGATTACAGGCATGCATCACCACGACCGGCTAATTTTGTATTTTTAGTAGAGGCGGGGTTTCTCCATGTTAGGCTGGTCTCAAACTCTTGACCTCAGGTGATCTGCCTACCGTGGCCTCCCAAAGTGCTGGGATTACAGGCATGAGCCACCGCACCCGGCCTATTCCAGAGCTTTTAAAGCACTGACTTGAAAATTGTTCACTGGATTCTTTTATGAAATTAAAAAGTTCTTGTTTCATAATGCATTTCCTTAAAAAGACAACCCTGTTTTATTATTTCTAATTTCCTTGGGTTCTAACACAAGAATATTGGCAAAGCCAAAGTCATAGACGTGTTTCCCAAACTGTGAAACAGAATAAATCAGGATTTTTTAAAAGTTTACTATGGGCTGGGTGCAGTGGCTCACACCTGTAATCCCAGCACTTTGGGAGGCCAAGGTGGGTGGACCACCTGAGGTCAGGAGTTCGAGACCAACCTGGCCAACATGGTGAAACCTCGTCTCTACTAAAAACACAAAAAAATTAGCTGGATGTGGTGGCAGACACCTGTAATCCCAGGTGCTGGGAAAACTAAGGCAGGAGAATTGCTTGAACCCGGGAGGCGGAGGTTGCAGTAAGCTGAGATTGTGCCATTGTACTCCAGCCTGGGCAGCAAGAGTGAAACTCTGTCTCAAAAAAAAAAGCAAAAAATCAAACAAACAAAAGTTTACTATATACATTCAAAGACAAATAATAGATTTCACGGTTGTTAAAATGTTCCCTTATTAAAAATCCTATACATGGCCAGGTGTGGTAGCTCATGCCTGTAATCCCAGCATTTTGGGAGGCTGAGGCAGGTAGATCACAAAGTCAGGAGTTCAACACCAGCCTGGCCAATATAGTGAAACTCCATCTCTACTAAAAATACAAAAAAAAAAAAAAAAAAAAAAAAAAAAAGGCCAGGTGCAGTGGCTCACACCTATAATCCCAGCACTCTGGGAGGCCGAGGCAGGAGGATCACCTGAGGTTGGGAGTTCGAGACCAGCCTGACCAACATTGAGAAACCCTGCCTCTACTAAAAATACAAAATCAGCTGGGTATGGTAGCACATGCCTGTAGTCCCAGCTACTCGGCTGATGCAGGAGAACTGCTTGAATCTGGGAGGTAGAGGTTATGACAAGCCACGATCGTGCCATTGCACTCCAGCCTAGGCAAAAGAGCGAAACTCCCTCTCAAAAAAAAAAAAAAAAAAAAATTAGCCGAGTATGGTGGTGGGTACCTGTGGTCCCAGCTACTTGGGAGGCTGAGGCAGGAGAATGGCGTGAACCTGGGAGGCAGAGCTTGCAGTGAGCCGAGATCGCGCCACTGCACTCCAGCCTGGGGGACAGAGTGAGACTCCGTCTCAATTAAAAAAAAAAAAAAAACAAAAAGGGAGAGTTTAAATTTTAACTGAAGATAGTGTGTAAGAGCAGGGGCTTGAGTCGGTTACATCTACCTTGAGCCTGGGCTCCGCCACATAGAGGCTGTGTAACTCTGAGCAGATCACTGAAGTTGTGGCAGCCTCAGTTTGTCCATCATTAAAATGGGGGTTATAAAATTGTATGTGCTTCACAGGATATTCATGTGGATTAAATGTATGTATG